CCCGCACTTTCAGCGCCTCCCGCAAACTCCGGCAGACATGGGGGGGGAGCCGGGGGTGCGCGGAGGCCGCGGGCTCCCTCCTGTCCTCGGTCGCCGCGGTAAACGATCCGATCGCTTCTTTCTTCTCTCACTTTTCCTATTGATCTGAGTGGACCCAGGTCAGGTCCTAACAGATTGCCTGAGATTATTGGGACTCTGGGCTCTGATTGACATTTCTAGTCTCTCACAAGCCCCTCCTATTTCTTTTAAGTCTCTCTCTCTCCCTCTGCCTCCCTCTCTCTCTCATGCCCAGAGCTCTCGCCGGGTTTGTCACTAGCTGCTTCCCCCCCCCCCTTTTTTTTTTTTTTTTTTTCCCTTAAATCTGTTTACTGACGTCGCGATCTTTTATTTGAGTTGCTTTCAAATCTCGTTTTAGCGATCGCCAATCAGTTGTGTGTTTTACAAAGGTTTAACCCTGCCTCATGGTATTCTAATTATATAGAGATAGATTTAGATATAATTTCTTCCCGAGACCCCCCCTCCCCCGGAGCATAGGAAGCCAGGGTGTCAGCTGTGAGCGGCACACGAGAGGGACAGGAAAAAGTTGTGACATTCAAAAATAAAGGCTCACCCCCACCCCCTCTTTTCAGGTTTTCAAATTTACAGCCTTTCCTTGCCCGGGTTCATTTTGTTTTCTTTATTAAGATATTCCTTCCTTTCCCTTCCCCCTCTCCGGCCTTAGCGAGGGTCACATCTCCTGATATAGATTTGAAAGTCTATTAGATTTTTGTGGAAAATTTGCATTTCCAGAGTTACCTTGAAATTTTTCTTAACGTACTGAATCTTTAAGGAGTTCTCTACGTTTTGTCTGGGCTAACAGTGGGCAGATAGAGTGGAAAAGCGAAGTTAATTTTCCTCCTAATAAGGGACTTCAAAGAGTTGTAGGTCACAATTTTACATCAAAGGCAGAAAAGAAGGCAAATTAAAATCTTAACAAAGGAGAGACGGGAGCAGCCCTCTGGGCCATTAGTAAATAAGTGGTGTGAAAAAAGGGACAATGACAGGCACTGGAATTAAACTCATTAACACCTTTTTGTCTTGGTGCGAAATCTCTAATTAGGAAATTTATGATCATTTTGCTTATTCCCTCTGTTCTGAATCACTACAAGGCTTAGAAGGAAGTACCTGGTACGTGCAACATTTGCAAAGGGAGCAGCGGCACGGGCTCGTAAGGAGCTATGGGGAAGGAGTCAAGATACGCTTTAATTACCGAATAGAGTTGTTTTTTTTTCCCTTTTTTTAACGACCAACACATTTTAAACGATGTTTTGCTTTGTTTTGCTGCCCCCCGCCCCCTCCTTCCCTGAAACCAGCGTGTGAGTTGCAATTTAGTCTTTTAAGAGTAGTTTAAATACTGTTCAATCACGGCGCGTCTCTGGCAAGCGCCAGTGCGCCCTGCTCCGCTGCTGCCGTGCGGGGGGGACAGGAACACCCCATCCAACCTGTGGGGCTGGAGCTGCGGCCGGGAGAGGGACCTGGAGCTGCCACCGTTATCTGCTTTTTTTTTAAAAAAAAAAATGTCGGTGTTTAAATAAAATAAAAAAATATAAATGAAAAAGTTTGAAGGGTGTTTTGAGGAGTTGAGGCTGGAGTGGAGCCTTTTAACCGTGTTCCCATATCTTCCTAAATACCCTCTGGATTTATGGCCTTTAAAATATGATTTAGGTACAATATAACCACTGTGCCCGCAGTATGGATTTTTATAACTACATTTCTTTAAAAATGAAATTCATGTCAGATTATGCAGTTAAAGGAATCGACCTTGATAGCTTGGTATAATAAAACTATATCAGCTTGTAAAAATGCGGATTATGGCAAAGCAAGCCCCAGAATTAAAATTCCCTGAATCAATATATGAAAATCTGTAGGAAACATCTCTAATCGTATTAAGTTCATCTTTATAGCATTTCCTATCTGCTAATCTAGTGCAAAAACAACTCTGGGTTGGAGGAATTTAGTTTATTCTATTCAACGTGGCTTCTGTTACAGTTTTTGATACTATAATGCAACGAGGATAACAATATTAAATTCAGTTATGTTTATTTCTCTTTTTTTTTTTTTTTTTTTTTTAATTCTAGAGGAAAAGAGGCAGGAAACCCCACGTCCTGATTTACTTTAAACTTTTCTGTAGGAAGCGCTGGGATGGGGAGATGCGGCGTTTGGGGGGTCGGAGGAAACTTTGGATGCAGAACTCAACTTTTCAAACTATCTACCTTGGAGAGAAAAGGGACAAATTCGAAAAACCGGACAAATCGGTGGCCGCTTGTTGCCGTCGTGCTGGCCCGGCTGGTGCTGCAGGCGGGTTGTGCCCCGCACGGGCGGGTGCGGGGACACACGCCTGTCCCTCGCGGCCGGACCCGTCCTGTTGCGGCTGCA